ACATTTAACGGAGACCCTCAACCTCAGTTTACGTAAAACATTAGTCAATAAAGTACTTCACCTCTACAGGATAACCTACAAAACCAAAGGATGTCACACCAAGTCTGATAAAATCTGGGGAGCCAGGGTTTCCTGTCGTACCAGGCTCCAGACTGATGTTTTCACCCATAATAGAGCAACCCCATGCCCCCCCTTACCCCCAGACAAAACCACATTCTTGATAGCATTGAAGGTCTGCAAAGTAAGAGGCACACCGCTAGTAGTTTATGAGAATCTTTTTCATTGAAAGAAATCACATAATAGTTTGACAATTTCTACAACTGCACAGAACTACTGTTTAACTCAGTGTTTCTAAATCTTTTTTTTAGTCACAGCACCCTTTAAAAAAGAACCCCAGGAATTCTCTTTTTAAAATTAACCCTTGCAGTGGGGCAACCCCCGCACTGCATGGGTTAACTGCTCGTTTGTGTCTAGGTTAAAAAACAAAGATATGCTCACCGAAAGCTCTGAGCCAACGTCTTCTTAGACCGGTCCTTCCAACATCTCTCCCCCTTCCTCTGCAGTGGTCTAAGTTCCCCTAAATCTTCAACGTCTATACACAGTGTATGGACGTAAGGATGCTGAGGAACATTACAATCCTGCAGGGAGGGGGAGACAGGCTGGAGGGATCGCCATGATTGCTGGTCAGCTCGGAGCATTGGGTGAGAACATCTTTTTTAATTGTAGCACCTAGACACAAACGAGCACTTAACCCTTGCAGCGTGGGGGTAGCCCCACTGCAAGGGTTAGTAAAAAATACTGGAGTTCTTCTTTAAAAGTATTTCTTCAAAATCTCAAGGCACCCTATGTCTAAAATGTCATACATTTGAAGGGGGACCTTACGCAAGAAGACACAAACCGTGGGTTTCCTTGTTCACATGGAAGTGCCTCTTTCAAATCAAGATTCCCCCCATTCACATCAATCACCCTATGCATCAGTAGCCCTTCACAACAGAAGCTCCCCACTCATATAAGGCTGGGTTCACACCTAGGCGTATTGAATATGCGCGTTTGTCGCGCGTTTTTACCGCGATTTGCGGTTTTAAAAAAGCGCGACAAACGCCCGTTTCCGAGGGCTACTTGGCTGTATCCCAATGGAAACGCGAGACCAAAACGCCCCAAAGAAGTACATGCACTTCTTTGGGCGTAGGCTGTTTTGTATCGCGTTCGGACGGGCGGAAATACGGCAAGGTGTGAACCAGGCCCATTGAATACAATGGGATTTAGATGTTTGAGCGTTTTGTAGAGCGTTCGTCGAGCATTGAACGCGCTACAAAACGTTCAGGTGTGAACCAGGCCTTAAGGCCCCCCTTAGGACACCAGAAGGAACACCAGGGTGCAACAGAACCCTGGTTTAGAAAGGCTGGCTTAACATACTTTTGTTGTTATAATTTGTAAACACACAAAGGATTGGATCCTTTATCCAACATTCACATGGTCACATGATCATATCAATTTCTCTTTAAAGAATGTTTGAAAATTAATAATATACGTTTTTATTCTTTGCTTTGCACTTCGTGTTGAAGGTCCAAGATGCACTGATCTTACCAGAATACTTTTCAGAGTCTAGATATAAAAATGTTAGTTTATTTAAAAGTGGAGCTTGCAATAACTTGAAACATCACAATATACAAAAAGAGCTTTATTGCTTCTTGTTACAAAGAATCAACAAGCTCCTGTAAAGTCACTTTACCAGAGGTGTTGTCAGCAGTCCTCTGCAGGAAGGAGGAAGAATTTCCTCAGTCTCCTCTCCCCAAGTGATCAGACTGCAACATTATTTTTAGCTGGGGCTCTATTGAAAAAGTTGACAACTTTTTCAATAATCGATTATAATCGATTATGTCGATTAGTTGTTGCAGCCCTACCGCGGATGTCAACTGGTTAAGTTATACAAATCTGAACACAGCCATGAACTGCACAGGCACCAAGATTTACAGCATTTTGCCATTTCTGTGCTAGCATCGCAGTCCGGGAAGTAGATGCAAACTAAACAAGAATGTCCCATCCTTATGGAGAGTAATGCACATGAAGGCATTGTCAGGAGGAGTACTATGATCTATGTAAGAGGTAATAAATAGGAATATGTTATATTGCTTAGTGTACATTATTCAGCATGCATGCACTTCACTTAAAAGGCGTATCCAATGCGAGGTAGAGAACATTTGCATTAAACAAACAAAACATAGGAGTTTACACTTCTTAATACATCTTAGCCAAGTATCTGCTCTACAAGTGTACTAAGGGGACCTAGGCCACAATCAGGAGGCACAGTACAAGAAGCTGCAAGCATAGTAACTATTCAGCGTATCAGGAGATGTCTACCATTGTTAATAAAACTGACAGCAATTTGTCAACTGAGCAATAGACAGACACGGTAAGCACCATGAACATCGATGAGTCAAGTCTGATTTGTAAGTAAGGCCACCGGACAGAGGTCACGTCTGTGTACCAGACAAGATATTTTAGGACTGCCCTATACACCAGCCAAAGACGGGCTCTCTTCATTATATACCAAGTAAAAAAGTGAGCTATTTTTAAAACTAGAGGTCAGTTTTGTCTTTATCTCAGAGATCTGTCTTCAACATATAGAATACAACAAAAATAGGAAAAATAAAACAGATGTGTGGGGTTAGCCCCCCTGCAAGGGTTAAGTTATATTTTTGGAAGAACAAGATATCACATTAATATATACAATATATACAATATATACACCTTTTTTGTTTTTTTTGGGATATATATATTTTTTTTTTGGTTTTCATCGTTTTTATATATATTTATTTTTATTTTTTGATCTGTATGCGTCTGAGAAAAGACTGAATTAATACGGACTTCCTTTTGGTGATTGTTATACGTTTCCTCTGCTTGATCTTAATAGAGGATCCACTTCTACAAAAGAAACACTTTCATCACTCTGTTTTTCTTTATTGTACTTACTTTATTGCTACATTTTGTTTAATAGGTTATTAATTCACGTTAATGTATTTTTTTAGAGCACTTTTTAGCTACTTCAATAGTTGTATTTGACACATTGTATTTCTATAGATGTTTCACAGAATTTTCAGCACTAATTTAGCACTCATTGTTTTTATGCTGTTATTAGTTGGCACTTCACGTACTAAATTTATTCACATAGATGTGAGTGACATTCCCTCTGCGAATGCATTTTATTTATTACTGATACTACACCAACTATAGCCTGTTTCTATTGTACCGAGAGGCTTCTAGCGCTGTACTTTACAATTTTTAACCCTTAGGGCTTAATGCCTGAGTCTAGCTGCTTTTAGCTTCTATTCGGTTTGATTTTAATTCACTTTAATTGTTTGGGTATATCCCTCTCCTTTAGACATCTCTATTTATAGTAAAATCTAGCAATTCACGGTTACCATTAGCGCAGACTTTTGTCTATTAAGTTATATTCTGCCCGTGTTCTTCTTTAAATGCAGGAAATATGGATCTTTGGAAATCTAAACAGACTGTATACTTCCCAGATCACCTTCTCCTGCATTTAAATGTTCCTGCGTTTACCTGCGACTACACATAGTTACATGCATTTAGACGTGTTCAGAGTATCTAATCTTCCCCAGGACGCACAGATTTCTATTTTCTCTAAACACAAGTAACCTGAGTGCACCTGAACACAGGTAAATGCACAGTGCCAATTATACAATTTAACAGCATTACTCATATTAAGGGCCCATACACACCAGTGCAATGAGTTAATCGGATGGTTCTGTGCAAAAAAAAAAAAAAAAAACACCACACAATGCACCTACCGTGTGTTAACAGTACCCAAGGTATGTTGTGTTGCCATTCAAATTTGGCCCCCAAACGCACCTCCCTCCCACAATGCAATTTATTGCGCTGCAACGTGTGGTAACACAATGATGTGCGCAAAAAAATTGCATGCACTAGTTTTTTTTTTAATCGCACCACACACACACACGAATATACAGACACATCTATCCGTCCATCCATCGATCAATCAATATCTCTATCTATATCTATTCATATTTAATGTACATTCTACTGTATATTCTAGTTGGATGTCCCATGGCACCCAGATGTTACGGAACAAATGTCGTGATTTATGAGACTCGGTCTTTTATTCAAACAGGCAGGAGGCAATATGTGTGATCAGTCTGCCAAGTTACAGTAATAAACAAAAGAAGAGGTAGATTCTGTGGGCCATAGTGGGGATGGACTGTTTTAATATAGCAAAAGGCTGGAGGCATGTGGCTCTGTATACCACACAGAAGACTGGAGGTCTGTATTCACTACAGCCCAAAGGGGGCCTGGACACCACACACAAATGACTAGCTGTCTGCTTCATGTACCAGGCAAAATAAACTAAAGGTATGTCTAGTATACTAGGGAAAATTACTGCAGGCCGCGTCTCATATCTGGAAACAATTGCTTTAGTTTTGGAAAAAATGACTATAGGACTGCTTAGCACACCTAGCATAAACAACTACAGCTCTGCTTAGTATACTGGGCAAAGGTATTCATCAACATTCAACATTCATATTCATCAACTGACTCATCACTTCATCACTCTCCCTGGACGTTGCGCAACGATTGTGCATCCAGGGACAGCTGATGAATGTTTAAAGGGTGAACAAAAAATGTGCTCTACTATGCCACCAAAATCCAGTGTACCCATCGCACTCCTGACCGAATAATACCCTTAAAGTCGGGTGGGTGCCAAAGTGACTGCAGATGCCTGTGCAATCTAAGTTAAGTTTATGTATAAAAGGCACTCGCACTCAAATAGAATTTCAAGTCTCTGTAAACATTGGCAAGGAAAGGATTGCTATAAATCCGATTTGAAATATATGCCAATTGATTTTTACAGATAATCCCATACATTTAACAACATATTGAAGATTACACAAAGCTTGCTTAAGTAAAAGATAAATGGTACTGTAAGAAACAGTATTTCAGCATAAGGCAATGAGAGGTACCTTCATTTTCAGAGGCTGGGCACTCTACTTTCAGCACCAAATCAAATGTTCTCTCAGGTTTTTCCCTGCAATGAAAGCAGAAAACAAGTCTTTAAAAAGACATAAACAAGTGATTAAGTATACGACATAACATTGTATCATAGTTTTGGCTAGAGTGGGGAAGGATTGGAACCCCAGTGCTTCATGGGGCTCAACTAAAGCAGAACTCCAGGCAATTTTTATTAACCCTTGCTGTACGGCCACCCCCACACTGCAAGGGTAAACTGCTTGTTTTGGTTTAGGGAGGAAAAAGGGGGGAAAAAAAAGGGTTATACGCACCAGATCCTCCAGGCCAGCTTGCTTTTAGACTGGTCCTTATGCCTCGCTCTCCCTGTGCTGCAGCAGTCTAAGGCCCCCGAGTCATCACATTCTAGCCACAATGTACAGGTCATGAGGACGCCGAGAGACATACCCTTTGCTACAGCGTAGGAGGATACAGGCAGGAGGGAGTGCTGTCATAGCCGGTCAGCTCGGAGTATCAGGTGAGGATATCTGTTATTTTCCTCCCAAGACCAAAGCAAGCAGGTAACCTCTGAATTGTTAGGGTAGCCCTATTGCAAGGGTTAATAAAAAGAGTTGCCCTCACTTTCTGTCCTGCTGACAATGTGAAAGAAAAAAAAACGCATCAGAAACACATCAAAACGGATTGCAGTGCAACTGCACAGACGCACACAGTTGTGATGCAGTTTCTGGTGTGAACTGGGCCTAATATGTGACTAAAAGTGGACCTCTTTCCTCTTTTTTTACTCACAGAGTTAAGCTCCCACTAGTGAAATTAATTAGTACAAAATTAATGAATGTAGAATGAGTAAAAAAACAAATGACATCACGGAGGTTCTGGTAGTCTAAGTTTAAATCACAGCTCTCTTCCAGGAAACGATGGATAATAAACCATCTAATTACATTGTTCTCAGCTAATCTGAGGACTACTGTACCTTGCCACTTTATGTTTTTGGCGCATAGAGAGGGGGCAGGCTTCCGTAGTCCTGTCTAGCTTATGTTGTCATCCTAGGATTGTAAATGTGTTACAGTACTGGCAGAATCATCAGGTGAAAAAGAGAAGAAAAAAAAAAAAGATTTAAAAATGGTTTTCTATTATTAGCTTGCATTACATCCTTATCATGGCTAAATATGAAAAGAATGTTACAGTCATCTCCAATGACATGGTAAACATTTCAAATAACGTATGTGCCCCTGAATGATTGCTTCTATTACTGCAATTATTGCAAAAATGTATGTTTTCAGATCTTCAGCCATTGTGATCGATAAAGGAGACCTCAATGACAAATTACATGTATGTCATCTTTTGGATACTGAACATGACCATAATAACCACCAACACAAATGACTACAGCCTAGCAAAGCACGCAATTCAGTATTGGTCCCTCTACAAGGTTGTGGAAGAATGTTAGCCAGCTCATCCTTCATTTCAGAAATACTGGTAGGTTTTGAAACACAAACTACTTGATTTTAGTCATGACACATCGCATGAGCTATGAGAACAGGCTACTGAATTTAAAGGAGAACTATGGGGTCAGTGTTTTTCCCCATAGTTCTCCTTAGGGTAACGGGAGGACACAAACTAGCGTCCTCCCGTTACCCTAAGCTCAGTATACCGCGAGCTACAGCTTGCGGTATACTGAGACGCCGCACCTGGAGCGGATCCCGACGTAGATGACGGGATCCGCCCAGCTGCGTGAGTGACAGCTGGCTCTGCCTATCTAAAGGCAGAGCCAGCTGTACCCGCCCCCTCCCCCAGTCAGCGCTGGCAGATTGGAGCGGGGAGAGGGGAATCCAGCCCCTCCCCCTGTCACGGCAGAGAGCCGTGACAGGATCGAGAGGTGAGGGAACCCGGTATGTGTTCGCTCACCTCCCGATCTACTAAGCCGACCTGTGACAGTCTCATTGTCACAGGTCGGCTTAGAACTATGAGGTGAGTGGAAATCACTCATCTCATAGTTCTCCTTTAAATATGTTCTCATTGGAAGTACGGAGATTAAGGGGGACATGATTTTCATGTACAAAATGTTTACCGGGGATAGCAACATTAGCAGCAAACTCTTTACAATGAACTCCATGACAAGGACGAGAGGCCACCACCTAAAATTGGTGGAGAAAAAATTTCAGCACAAGGGGTGAAGGGGTTTCTTCTCAGTTAGATCAGTCAGGGTCTGGAACTCGCTGCCACATGCTGTGATTTCGGCTGAGAGTGTGGAACCATTCAAGAGGCGATTGGACGCTTTCCTCAGAGACCGTAATATACAGGGGTACAAGTACTCCTAAGAATGAGAACACACCGATACCTATACATACTATACATCAGTAGGACCATACACATACACACAATAGGTTGAACGTGATGGACATGTGTCTTTATTCAACCTCAAATACTATGTAACTATGTACATCTATTGGTAGATGTGCGATGTTATAGGGAACATCTAGAAATGTTGACTGTGTACCTTAGCAGTACCTTGAAAAACCTATTTGTCAAATTCCCCAAAAAAACAGCAGTGCATTTCATGTGACTTATGACTCAAAGCTGTAGATTTGCACTGTGAAATCACATATTAGTCATCTGTACACTCAGATCTAGCCAGTTTTCGGTTTATCATTTAGAAAAGGAAGAAGATTCTCAATTCGTTATATGCAAAGCTTAAATTTTCCTGTAGAATTTGTCTGCCTCTCAAGTCCAAAGCTTCCATAATAGTCAATGAAGCCATTAATTACATTAAATTACCACTAAGTACTCAGGGTGTGGGAAGGGGTAGGCCAAGCATGACGTTTACTGGAAAAGGCAATATGAAACACATTCTCCTGCTCATCCCTGGATCTACGCATCATTTTGGGATGTTGTGTCCACCTAAAGTGTATGTCTGGGTAAAAACAGATCAAAACAAAAAAGCATATGTAGTAAGTCTCTGCAACTTCTCTTCTGCACAAAGAGGGAGGTGCTTTGGAGTCAACCAAGAAGAAATTCTGGCAGGGCTGATAATGCTTGGGATTTAAATGCACCAGAAAGAGTTTGTCAGCTCTCGATAAAAGTTATGAGCTTACTAGATTTCTGGATCAACAATTTTTTTATCCTACACTTGCAGTGTTACGTGTTTCGAAGTGGCACCAACTTTTTTAGTCCTGGAAGCCGCTGTGGAATGAACATTTACTGATAAGGTGGGAGTTTGATACATTACCCTATAGGATTTGCATAGCCAGCCTTATCCACCAGGCAAACAAAAGGCATTAAAAGGAGAACTATGGGGTCAGTGCTTTTCCCCATAGTTCTCCTAAGGGTCACGGGAGGACATAAACTAGCGTCCTCCCATGACCCAAAGCTCAGTATACCGTGAGCTACAGCTCGCGGTATACGGAGACCTGGGACAGATCCAGACATTATTGTCTGTATCCATCCAGCTGCGTGATTGACAGCTGGCACTGCCCATCTAGAGGCAGAGCCAGTTGTACCCATCCCCTACCCCGTCCGTTCCGCCAGTCAGCGCTGGAGGATCGGAGGCGGGGAATCCCTGCAGTGAGCCATGAGCGACAGTCACAGTTCTCTGCAGGGACAGGATCGAGAAGTGAGCGAGTGACGGTATGTGTTCGCTTACTTCCCGATCTATTGAGCCGACGTGTGACAGTTTAATTGTCACACATCGGCTCAAACTATGAGGTTGAGTGAAAATCACTCACCTCATAGTTCTCCTTTAAATCTTGCTTGCCCTGATCTTTGCCACCAAACAGAACAAACAAGGCATAGGACTTTCTAAAGTCCTCTGTGGAGAAGGCAACAGAAAACTCCAGATAACCAACAAGTCAAAGTTCTCCTCTTTGTTATTGGAGGGCTTTCTTACAAAATATGGGTAGAATAATGTTCCGAGTGGTAAGAACTTTCCTTCTACCTTGGCAAAAATCCTTGGAGCTGAGAAGAGGCAATAAGGGAGGGATGAGCTAAAACCTCATTGTGAGGCACAGGAACTCCTGTGAGCTCTTTCTGATAGGAACAAGGCGGTAAGAATCCCTGAGATCCAGGATCACCAAAAAGCAGCCAGTCCGAGGATGGTCTAGGAAAAAAAGATTGAATCCATGTGAAACATTGTTTACCTGACTGATTTGTTGGGAGGCCTGAGATTTCGGTTAAAGGGAGACTAGACTCAGGAGTTAAATCTTAAAAATAATTTTAAAGTACTTTAACTATTAACAAAAAATCTAATGTGTGCATCATTTGGTTATAGATCCCCAAATAATCTCTGAATTGATCCTGACACTGTTTTTTCCTTCTGGAAGGTGGCTGCTTTTGTTCCCCATAGTCCCAGTGTGTGTTGTAAGGTAGCCACCATTCCAAGCTCACTCCTGTGATGGACTACAATCTCACATTTAGTTTACTAATTTTTTTTTGAGATTGTAGTCTCAAATTGAGTGAGATTGGAGCGGAGACTACTTTACAACACAAACAGGGACCATGGGCAACAACTGAGTGATACACAAATAAAATACATTTTTGTTGATAGCTATGGTGCTTGAATGCATTCTTAAGATTTGACGCCCAAGTTTAGTGTCGCTTTAAGACGGAACGTGTTTCTTTACTATAAAACACACGCAAGTAAAAACACTTCCCCTGCTCCTCTTCCAGTGCAGGAATTATGACCCTCTTATCCACCAAATATCCTAAAAGAAGAGTCAGTGCCCTGGATTTATTTGGGGACATTCCATCACCAGGAATCTTAAGGGTGGAGGGCTGACAAACTCCACCCTGTTTCCACTCTATCAGTCCCACAATGAAAGTATTCAAGGTTATCTGCTGTGGGAGGAACCCCCCCCCCCCCCCCTCAATCTCCCTCCAATGGGGTCAACACGTAAGTGTGACTTGAATAATTGGTCAGGAGGGTTAAAGATGATACCCCCTTTACCCTTTATGTTATAGCCCACCACTGCTTCGAAGGGTCACCACACACGTTACAATCTAGCCGCTTAAATCTCTGTACAATCAAGTTTAAATCTTCCAAAACTATGTAATAGGAGGACCCTCCCT